AGGAGAAGGACGTGGTGACCATGTGCTTCGCCCGCGACTCGCGCAAGGACCGCCTCATCGTCTGGACCTTCCTCCTCGGCACCTCCGGTCTGCTCGGCTGGGCCGCCGCCCGCCGCGCCCTCGAGCAGCGCGAGTTGCGCAAGAGGACTACTGCCGGCGACGGCGGCGTCGATGTGGGAGGAGTAGGAGGAGGAGGAGGCGATGGCGGTAACCATAGGAGGAGCCCTACGCGGAGGGGAGCCGCCGACGCCAGTGGGGATTATTTGTTTGTGGTCGGGGATGACGGCGGGGAAGGGTCGGCGTCCGGCTCTCGTCCTGGGAGATGACAAGGGTAGATTTCATGGTATGGAAAAAGGACTGCCTATTATATACGGTCTTTGTCGCGGTAGCACGGCGTTGATCTTGCATATGTTCTGATTCTCTCGTATTTTGAATCTTCTCTCACACCAATGCTCTCCGGCCAATTTCGTCTGGGACCTGCATGGTGTTCTTAACGCGCTCGGTCATGATAGTGAGCTTTGTCAGGGTCACCATACGGAGCACCCAACTAAGCAGCATGTGTCTAGGCCCCAAGTGACGGTCAGCAGAAATGCATTTCTCTATACAGTGACATGCAAGTCTTCGGTCTTGATGTGACGGAATCAAGCCACAAAGATGGGTCTGGGACACCAACGGCAAGACACAGCCGATGGTATCCGGCCATCGTTATATAATGGTGCGTAAGCCGTGCGGAGTATGGGTATTCCCGGACTCCACGGGGTCGCTGTTATCCATCGTCGGGGTAAATGTATATCCCCTTCATCGAGGGGAAGGGCCCCAGCCGAGGCCTACAGACCGATTCCAGGATATCTTGGCATTTCCTGCTCTCTGGGAATCTATTCACCGTCTACTTCCTTTATATCTCTTTTTCCTTTGTCTTTTTCTGTATCTTGAGAATCATCGCAATGGATCTGAGCAAAACCCGCCTCTCGGTCGTGCCAAATGTCGGCCCTTTACATCTCCCAAACTGTTCCGCAATAACCTTGCCTACCTACCCACCTAGGCACAAACTCCGCCACGACGTCTTATATTCTCGTGTCACCGTGCTTCTGGGCCGAGCCATCTCCCCATCACTTAGTCTTCCTCCAGAGGGGTGGCGGGCACTTCGTCGGTTGGGTAGCGGTATCCGCTGGCCATGTTGACCGCCCGGCGCGCGCGAACGGCAGCGGCAAGGTCCTCCAACACAGTGACCGTCGACTCCCAGTCGATGCAGGCGTCGGTGATGCTGACGCCCTTCTTGAGACCCTTGGGGCCCTCGGGCGGAACCTTTTGGTTGCCCTCGTGGATGTTGGACTCGATCATCACGCCGACGATGGACTTCTCGCCCTCGCTGATCTGCTCGCTAATAGCCTTGGCCACCTTGGGCTGGTTGCGGTGGTCCTTGTTCGAGTTGCCTGTGAACGACGACCTGATTAGCCACCACCTCACTCGCGAGAAATAGCGACAAAAGTTATACTGCCAAGGATGCGCGCGGTGTTTTGTTTGCTTACCGTGCGAGCAGTCGATCATGATGGCCTGCCTCTGGCCCTTCTTCGTCAGCGTCTCCTTGGCCGCCTGGACGTCCTTCTTGCTGTAGTTGGGGCCGCTCGACCCGCCGCGGAGGATGACGAAGCCGTGATCGTTGCCACTGGTCCGCGTGATCGCAGCCAGCCCCTGCTTAGTGACACCCATGAACGAGTGCTTAGCGGCTGCGGCGCCGACGGCATCGATGGCGACTCCGAGGCTACCGTCGGTCCCGTTCTTGAAGCCGACGGGGAACGACAGGCCAGAAGCCAACTCTCTGTGCAGCTGGCTCTCGGTGGTGCGGGCGCCGATGGCACCGACCGCGATGAAATCGGCGAGGAACTGCGGCGAGATGGTGTCGAGCATCTCGCTGGCGATGGGTAGTCCGGTCGAGGTCAGATCGCGGAACAGCTGGCGCGAGACGCGGAGGCCCTTGTTGATCTGGAAGGTCTGGTCAATGTCCGGGTCGTTGATCAAGCCCTTCCAGCCGACCGTGGTCCTGGGCTTCTCGAGGTAGGCACGCATGACGATGCAGAGGTCGTCGCGCAGCTTGTCGGCGAGCGCCTTGAGGCGCTGGGCGTACTCGAGGGCGGCCGCGGGGTCGTGGATGGAGCAGGGGCCGACGATGACCAGCAGGCGGTCGCTCTTGCCCACGATGATGGCCGTGGCCTCCCTGCGGCCTCGGATGACGGTCTCGAGAGCGGCATTGGTCATGGGGATCTCGGATATCAGGAGCGCGGGCGGGATCAGAGGATCCTGGCCCAGCACTGTTCGGACGGGCAGTCCCGGTTAGTCCATCTGTAGCAGCAGCGGCGGGGGATTCCATCGGCTGGGCACGTCTAGGCTGTCCTTACGCCTAATGTCATCGGTAACGAACGCCGGCATGATGGCTATAGAGACTATGGAAAGAGTGGTGGCGATGGATCAGACGCTTGCGCTTGTTGCTTGCAAGCTAATGGAGCCCGCTGCTGTTTGGTGGTGGGTCGGCGCCAGGCTCTCGACGCTGGAAATGGATGGCGAGAAAGAAAGGGGAATGGAAAGGGTATCAACACGTATGTGCTTAGCAGAAGGGTCAGAGATTGGCCTCCGCGGGAGTTCACTTCATTCAAATAAGACCAGAGGCCGAGTTGGCCAGAAGACCGGGAGTCAGAGCCGGCAAACCGAATGCTCTTTTTGTTTTGTCTAGAAGGGACGGCAAGTCAAGGACCGACACGCAATAATCCCCACAGTGACAAAATCCTAGAGAAGTTTTCCGTGTTGGTGACTCAGAAACGGCCAGCACTCGACAGTAAAAATATCGACGCAATGTATCAGAACGGAAAGACAAGAGCTCTTGTGCTACCTTTTCCAGACAACCCCTGCACCCGATCGGCCCGCGGTATGCCGTGAATTGTCACGTACATCCTGCATGAACAAGTAACGGCTACGGAAGGGAGGTCGGCAAGCTGTTTGTACCCAATAATAGGTAGACGACTATGCTACATAGGGTTCTTTACTACGACCCCGACGTCCCCGAATCGCGATCTCAACAAGCTCAAGCTTCCGAATGCCCCTCCAAAGCTCCGAGTGGGATCCTTGGAGAAAGTGGCAGCAAAAGTTTTTTCCCCACCTCATCGCAATTGACTTTGTCTGATTGGCTGGTTGTCCGTCAATGTCCTCACCGCCTTTGTTGATAGGTAGATAAGATTGTATTGTGGAAGGGTGGCACGCGTTATTGCCGCAAGGAGAGGGGCCGACAGCGCGGATCTGTCCGAACCCTCCGCGATACTTGAAATGATTCGGGTCCTTGACCCTGGTCGACGGCCTGGGTCAGCGGCGGGTGTGGTCGGGGTCGGATCATGAAGCCCGGAGACATGACGCCACTGCAACATTCCCCAATTTGCCTCGCCGAACAGAGGGTTAGATAAGCCAAAAGCCCTCCTCCCTTGCTCCAACAGCAAAACAACTTGCCACAGAGCAGTTAAGCCGTGATAAAAATACCTTTCTCAAGGTGAAAGCTAGAAGGCTTCGAGAGGATAGCAGGAGTGATTGATGATTCGAAA